CGGCCACATGCAGAATTTGCCAATCTCTTAGAGATTTGAGTTTACTCCACTGCACTTCAAGAAAATTTGCACACAAGCTCAGGTACAGTGGTACCAGCCAGCGACTGCATCCACAAGAGACATCATGAGCGTTTCAAGAAATTGCGTCTATCTAATTCTGCTTCATTAAAACACACATGCAACGAAAAGACGCGGGTCATCGTGATTGGGCTCATTGACGTATCATCATGCGGCTCGGGCTCTGGAAGGATCTGAAGCATGGGATTTGGCAGTTGTCGGCCATGCACATGCAGAATGTGGTACATGGTGGCCAATCGTGCAATGTCCTGGCGACGTGCAAGCTCTCGAGTCCACAACTGGCACTCATACTGACCAGGAAACTCAAACTGCAGCTGGCCATACATCAGTCTACGAGCCTGACAGGCCCTTCTAAGACCATCGCACTCACCAAGAAAATGAAAGCGAATTCCACTTCTTGGGGCAATCCATACATCAGCATCTTCCCTCACCCGAAGGATGTCATCATCCTGCAGCAATGCAGGCTGCTGCACGTTAGCTGTCTGACCAGCTGGAGTCACAGGAATAGCTGGAACATCTTTTAGCTGCGGCGTCACCTGCCGGCGCTGAGTCTGGCTGCTCAGATTCAAGTTCAGATTCACTCGGTGTTACAGGCGGCGACTCGTGACCGACCGAGGATCTCTGCACCACGAGTTCGCGGTGAGTAATGCTGCAAACCAAGACTTTCATGGCTATCGTCAGAAAGCACATCAAGGTTTTCTGCAAGAGCAGGTGCTTCGGCTAGCAATGGCTGCTGAGCCTCTGTTGCTTCAAACCTAAACCACTCCAAAAGGGACGCACTGGCACGGCCAAGCAGGAACGCAATGCACACTGTTGCGACGACGACAAAGACAAAGCTGATCCACGGGCTCGAGTGAGTGAGTGAGTGAGTGTCGACCAGCACTTACGGTGCGGCCTGCCTCCCACGTCCCTCTCAACTTCTCAGGGGGGCTCCGCAAGCGTCATCGCCCCCCTCCGTCGCAGAGTTCAAGTGGGGGAATTAGCTAGTGCAGCCAAGGGTCGCCAACCAGCAACATAAGGCAAGCGAAAATCGAGCAAACAAGGGCGACTTTCTCATCAAATTGTATGTTTACCAGCGCATCGAAAGCACAAACAGATGTAAGGAGGCAGTGCAAACGTTACACATGGAGAAAGGCACTGTCAGCTGCAGCGGGGGTTCAGCCCACGACCAATGTAGCACGCACACCCAGCGAAAAGAATATCGTCACAACAAGCAATTTGCCAGCAAGCATCGACAACAAACGAAATCAACAGGCCACGTGCAAAGCAAACTCAAAAACACCATGCACACACGGCCCAAAAAGACCATCGACCAATGTAGCAACCAGGGCCTCACATCGTCACAACAAGCAATGTAGCAAGCATACCCAACACACGGAATCATCATCAGGCCAAGTGCAAAGCAGATCGACCAATATAGCAACCAGGGCCTCACATCGTCGCAACAAGCAACGCAGCAATCATACCCAACACACGGAATCATCAGGCCAAGTGCAAAGCAAGCTCAAAACCCCACACACACCCGCCCAAAACGACGATCGACCAATGTAGCAACCAGGGCCTCACATCGTCACACCAACACACGGAATCATCAGGCCAAGTGCAAAGCAGATCGACCAATATAGCAACCAGGGCCTCACATCGTCGCAACAGGCAACGTGGCAATCATACCCAACACACGGAATCATCAGGCCGTGCAAAGCAAGCTCAAAAACTCCACACACAACCGGCCCAAAACGACGATCGACCAATGTAGCAACCAGGGCCTCACATCGTCGCAACAAGCAACGCAGCAAGCATACCCAACACACGGAATCATCAGGCCAAGTGCAAAGCAAGCTCAAAAACTCCATACACAACCAGCCCAAAACGAGGATCGACCAATGTAGCAACCAGGGCCTCACATCGTCGCAACAAGCAATGTAGCAAGCATACCCAACACACGGAATCATCAGGCCAAGTGCAAAGCAAGCTTGACCCCGACGAAAACCTTCACCCCTGCTCCGAGGAGGAAAACAACTCTCACAACAATAACGGGCCGGAGGGAGAAACCACAACGGACCAAGAACGGAACGAACCCCAACAAGCGCGCCAGAGGCAGGTTCCAGCACCGGGGGTGACACGCAACCCGCATGAACAAAACAGTATGTCGAAAGAGCATACGAGGACCCACTCTCATAACGTTGACGGGCCAGAGTAAGTAACCATAGCGGATCGAAACGGAACAGACCTCAACAAGCGTGCGCCAGATGCAGGGGGAGCACACAGCTCCAGCACCGGGGGCGACACGCAACCCACATGAACAAAACAGTATGTCGAAAGAGCATACGAGGACCCACTCTCATAACGTTGACGGGCCAGAGTAAGTAACCATAGCGGATCGAAACGGAACAGACCTCAACAAGCGTGCGCCAGATGCAGGGGGAGCACACAGCTCCAGCACCGGGGGCGACACGCAACCCACATGAACAAATCAGCACGTCAAGAAAGCACACGAGGACCCACTCTCAGAACATTGATTGGCCAGAGTAAGTAACCATAGCGGATCGAAACGGATCAAGCGTGCGCCAGATGCAGGGGGAGCACACAGCTCCAGCACCGGGGGCGACACGCAACTCACATGAACAAATCAGCATGTCAAGAGAGTACACGAGGACCCACTCTCAGAACATTGACTGGCCAGAGAAAGTAACCATAACGGATCGAAACGGATCAGACCCCAACAAGCGTGCGCCAGATGCAGGGGGAGCACAAAGCACCAGGGGCGACCACGCTTGCAAAACAAAACCAAAATTTAATAACATCCAGTTGTAGCCGCAACAAAACTCGCCTGCCTCCGAGCCTCCCTTGTCCTCTCACCAATTGGTGACCAAAATCAAATCACTGCATTGTGTGCTCGGAAACTTACCACGAAAGGCCACCTTCTTTTGCAATAAGAGTGTATCATGGACTCTGAAGATGGGGAGGAAAGGCACTGTCGCCCTGGCGCCGCCGAGTGGGGGAAAGGGGGGTGCTCGTCGAGTCGCTGACGACCCTTAGTGCCGCCCCGAGGGTCCACACCCTTTCCAGCACGGGCTCGAATCCTCGTCAGTTGACACTGGCGAGTCAGGCACAAACTCTGCTCGCACTTCAACATCCGTAGCCTTGTTGCCCATGACCTGGACCAACAACGCAAGCAATTGCAACGCCTCGGCATTTCCACGACCTGTGCTCCTCACAGCACGAAGAAACTTCTTTGCCTGCTCACGGCGCTGCTGCTCCTAAAACTCAGTCGTCCCAACAAGAGAAAATCCGTCATGCGAATCACGGATCCCAAGGATGTGGCTCAAAGTGCGGATACGGGCCCCTGACAAAGACTTTGTAAACAAGTCAGCTGGATTCGTCAAGGTCGGCACCGCGTGGAGCGATGCTTTCTTCCATTTGAACAGGAAGTCCTGTAGCCATAACAGGCGACCAGAAATGTGACGGAGACGTCCACATCCCTGTCTGCCCACAATGCCGCGAGCTGCACTTGAATCTGTGAACAAATGCATGGACACATTGGTGCGTAAGATGTGTTGAAGGGCACTACGAAGGAAGATGCCGTCGCATGTTGCGCTCACGCATGCAATATATGCACTTTCACCACTGCTTAGGCTTACGCAGCTTTGGCTTCTTGAAAACGTGTGAACAACCATGCCGTCAAAGGCAATGCATCCTGCACTGGTGCTCTTTCTTGTCGATCGGTTCCTGACCAATCAGCATCAGCGAACACCTCTAAAGTGTGAGTGTCATCACGGGACGACTAGGCCAGCGCCTTTACCCTCAGTCCGAAGGCAAGAACATATAGTTCACCAGATGCCTGAGGCATCGCCATGCCCCTTCGTTTGGCTTCCCACACATGCTGCTTAGCGTCTTTACGCCAAACTGGGCTGCAGGATAATCGCTGGACACATACAGAAGTACCCCGATGCACATTCTGTAGATCCCTGACCTGACATCGTCAAGGGGCGCAAGCTGTATCCACAGCGGAAGGGTTCCGCCTGTGGGCAAGGGACTGTCCCTAGGACGTTGCGCACAAACACCAAGCAACACAGCAAGACCTTCTACATGCTTCGGGTTGGGCATGATGGCTAGCACGTCACTCAATGCCCACTTGTGCTTCCTCTTCAAGAAGTTGATCTCATCACCAGGCTGCTTCAAGAAGGAAATCGTGCATCGGTACTTGGCCCTCACACATTCGCTAAGCCTTTGCGTTGTTGGATCGGCTCCAACTGCGAAAAGGTCATCAACATGGCACAGACCCCCGCCTCCCCCGCCATAGCCCTCATCTGAACTCCCAGGAATGAAGAACAGGGCTGGAGCTTCTGCAAGCGGCTCAATGGCCAGCTTCTCTATCAAGTATGACTGGAATGCTTCAGACCAGTCCTTGGCACCTGAACGCTGACCTGGAAGGTTTCTAAGGAGTCTATAGCGCCTTTGTTCACCTCGCACCCAAATGGATACTACGGTGTCCACGGCTTGCGGAACCGTGAGGTAGGCATCTGCGACATCTAAGGATAGCGCTGTCCAATGCTCTGGCTGCCGTGCGACAAGCCGGCAGGACTCGTAGCAGCGCATTAGACGAGGCAGGTGCAAACACCTCGTTGTCGACCATGGCACTGAGCCACCTGAACTCTCTGGCTACAAAACGGGCCCTACGGAGAAATGCCTTTCCGTCTCCGCGTGGAGATGGTTTTATTCTCCACGTTTTGACCATTTTGGTGCTGAGGCGCTGAAGTCAGCTGTGGCAGCCTTTCAAGAACACACATGGCTTCGAGTCGGGCTAACTCGAATGCTTCCAATTCTTCAGTCGAGAGCTGAGGCTCACCGGCCCCAGACGGCCTCCACAACTCCTCAGGGATGTTTCCTGCATCCTCAAAGTTGTCGGATGCATTCCAAGCGGGTGGATCCTCAACTGACTCGCTGAGATCAGCATCTGAGTCAAGTTCTAGGTCCTCAAGGTGAACAACCTCGTCGTTGTGGTGATGGGCATTCACTGCACGGATCCTCTGACGCTTGGACTCCTGACTATCCTCCCCAATTTCAGCCCTTTCATGAACCTGTTCAAGTTCAGCCATGGCACTGTCTAAACCATCTAGCTCACCTAGTTCATCAAGCGGGGTGGTTGGTTGACCTGGGTTAAGGCCTAAACCCAAACTAGGGTTCGGGGTCGGTGCAGGCGATGGCATGGGATCTCCTATCGCCAAAGCACTCTCGGGAGGTGCTGCAGCTGCACGTGATGGAAGTCTGGAAGGTTGTGAATGTTCCTGCACAGGTTGTAGATTAGGCCGGCAACCGCCTGACTGAATACCTAGGGTTTGGTCAGGTGTTGCAGGCATGCCTTCAGCAGGCAATCTCACAGAAGAAGGGGCAAGTGCAATATCGTGTGGAATGTCCACGACATCTTCATTCTCAGTTGGTGGGTCGCTGGCTGCAACCTCACTCCCACTGCCCGGACCTTCTCCTGTAACAGGCTTTGGTTGAAGTTGATTTCGGCTTGCTCCGACACCTCCAGCAAGGAATGACACATGCTTGTCAGGTGTGTCTTGCAGTACTGTCACAAGGCTGGGATCATACTCACACGTGGTGCGTCGGACAGATCTAGCAACCACAAGACGACCTGATGAAGTGCAAACAGGTGACAATCAGAAACATCTGATTTGCCCAGCCACATGGCCCGAAGCCACCGTGGTTTGCCCTTTGTGGCAGTTTTCACGCGTGCCAGGACGCACTCTGCGAAACGGACAAGTTTGCCTCCATATGGGGATGCATGCACTCTCTCCCACGGCGTTAGGTTTTGTGTGACACCAAAAAGCTGGAGAGTCCAGCTGGCGTGGCGCCAGCACCAGTGATGCAGCGGGTCGAACGTCTTGATTTGGATTTTCAATCGATCCTCAAGCTCAGCCAACATGGTCCCTGTTAGCTGTCGGATGCGTTCGATGGCACCCTCAGCGTGGTTGCCTTGGCGCTCTCCAACAGGGGTTTGTTCGATATGCGTTTCCATACCGATACGGTGCCTGAAGGCCTGGACAGCATTTGCAAGCGCAGCGCATGACGGTTCGGGGTCAGCACGTAAGGTGATTTTCCTGTGTCCAAGGTACGACAGCAGCTTGGTCAGCTCAACTGCCAAAATTGCTTCAGGAAAGACCTACGATCGAGATTTGTTGATGGGAGTATTGCTTCGATGTTCGCCAAAGGCACTGAGGGACCACCTTACTGATGCCCGAAGGAACCAACTACATGTCAGTGTAACAGGCAATTCTTTCGCGCGAACAAAGCAGCAAGACATGGAACTACCAGACGGTGTTGAAGCAAAAGACAATTTCGAACACAGCGAGCAGTTCGAATGCAGATCAAGGACCACACCGATGGAAGTTGATGCAGTGCACGAAAAAGGAGGTGGAAAAGGAAACAAAGGAAACAAAGGAAACAAAGGAAACAAAGGAAACAAAGGAAACAAAGGAAACAAAGGAAACAAAGGAAACAAAGGAAACAAAGGAAACAAAGGAAACAAAGGAAACAAAGGAAACACAGGAAACACAGGAAACACAGGAAACAAAGGAAACAAAGGAAACAAAGCAAACAAAGCAAACAAAGCATGGCCAAGCTTGGGAGCAGGATATCGACAATAATGAATGGTCCAGTTGGACACAAAGCAACATGTGGTGATCTTGGATTCAGGCGCAGATGTGAGTCCGTTACCAAGAAGATTGCCGGACGCAGGTGTCGACGTTTCGACTCCAACCTCTCTGAGGTTGCAGGACGCATCGTCCTGCAAAACAACGAACTCAAAGTCTCCACATAGCCATGCCACGCTTTCTGAGCGATATGCCAAACAGACAGGACATTGCGTTGATAGCAACCAATGTTGATGCTTTCAAACTCAAAGCAATCCATCATGACTTGACGCAGTTGCATGATCAGGCACTCAGCAAACTCGCAGCCAGATCAGGCCAAGTTGAGTTACAGGTTTGGCTTGGAGTCTCGCCCATGAAAGGTTTTCCTAATACATCGACATCCCTTTCCCACTTGACAATAAAGAAAAGAGCGCTGAGGCTTTCGAAATCCATTTTAAGCTGAATCAGCTTCGGATCCTTCATGCCTTCCGGGCAAGTATTTGAGATTATACACAGATGCCTTCAACTTCCAGAAAGCCATTTTGGAACTTCGCAGCTGTCACGTACATATTCCGGACAGCATTACGCTGAAAGCGGCAAAGTTTAGCCTCTCGGATACGCGGAAAAATACCAGGAGGGTGGAGTGGTCCCTCACTGCCCCAGGAAGCTCTGAGGAGATATCCCTTCAAATTGCCCTCCCAGCAAGGATGCCTGATATCCCATCGATTGAGCTGTAGCTAAGTGGTCTGCAGATTGGATTATGCGTACTTGGTGTAGTACATGTCAGGAGAGATGACGACACCATTACGCCTGTCTGTCATTTCACTGCGCAACCACAGCTTGCGCAGGAAATGTTGCAAATTAAAGTCATCGAGTTTGGTCCTTTTGAAGGTCATATCGACCTTTTGCAAGAGGTTGTTGACGCGCCTACATGGGCTTCTAAACCGATGAACCCGCTTTCTGAAACTCCATATCAGCACTATATTCGAAATCAGAACAAGACCATTAAGATTGGACAGGGAAGGATGGTGAGCCTCAGGTGCCAAGACGAATACGACCCGACGGCAAAACACCGGCTTGCCACCTCTCTCTTGCGACAAGGATGACTTGGAACTGTAATTGATCAGCAGGCCCCTTACGTCATAGCTACGGGCAGTTGTGAAGGGGTTGATAGACTAACGCAGCTGCTGGGAATAAGGGACATTCTTCAGAGAAATGAGCTTCTCGAGGAATGGTCACAGCCAACCAAAATGCCTGCACTGACAGCCCTCCCTTGCTCCATGCAATTCAGTATGCCTTTGTCGTTACGAAGTCCAAGCAAGAGCTTTCACTGCCACTTGTCATGTTGAAAATCATGGCTTCTACAGCCATCTTCCCACTCTACAAACAAAACACTTACGGTCTAACTTTTCCTGCTCCGCACTGGGGGGCGGTGCTTAAGCCTCTAAGTCACCATGCAATCTTTCCATGACTCAGTCATGCTTGCATGCTCTGCTGTAACTGTTCTATACATGGACTGCTAATGCTCCTACTTGGGGTGCTCATGCACGTGACAATCGAACACCCCGCCTCAGAAAGTTCTTGCGGGTTTCGTGTTCTTCAAAACTCGTAAAAGTCAAAAGCTTTCTGTAGCCAGGGACTTTCGTCTCCATTGCTTTTGGTCTTTTACCTGGCTGTACTTCTGCCCTTGGTTCTTGGATCGAAAAACTGTACATGATCCTTTCTCGAAACTTCTGTACAACCACTTGTTCTTCTCTACTTCTAGTTAGGCTCACTAGGCTGAGCTCTTTGCCTCCAGGCCCGGTAGGAGGGGTCCTATGCCTTCCTGGAAACTTCTTAAAACAATTACTGGACTTCTCGAGACACATTGAGATTAGATTGACCAGGAGAAAGTCGACAAAGCGTTGGCGCTCGAGAGAAAGAAGTTGAAGAGAGAATGGAGCAAGCGAAGGCGTGGCAGAAGGAGAACGGCATAGACGCAGCAGTACAGAGCAGCCCGAGAAGACAAGAAAGAAGCCCCAGAGTTCAAGAATGCGCCCGTGAAGGGACGTGAGACCTGGAACGGTGGACATTTACAGGAAGCACTCTGTTTGGTTGAACAACAAGAAGGAAGTGCGATGGCACTCGATGGCAAGAAGAACAGACCAAAGGTGGAGAAGCTTGTTCACGAAGAACGCCTACAAGAACAGCTCCAGTACAACAAGAAGGGCAAAGGAAATAAGCCGACAAACCTGGCAAAGGCTGGGGATGGCAGCAAGCAGAGCGGAACGACCAACAGTGGCAAGAAGCAGGTTGGACCAGTATGGCAACTACCAGAAGACTTGGATTTGACAGACGCAGTAAAAGAAAAGAAGCGTCGTGAAGGTCAAGCAGTAAGAGCAAGAGATCAGACTTAAGATTCAGTTCAGAAAGAATTCGTTTTGATTTAAGAATGCCTTCAAGACCGCTCTTCTCTTCTTTGACTTGCTTCCTGCAAGCAACACCAAGACGATTACTAGGACAAACATGACATGCGCTGCAAAACTTCTTAAACTGCAAAACATGCTTCCCAAAACTGAGACTGTGCTCTCTGCTCTCTTCTTGATCTTCTTCGCCTCTGAACTGCATGCCATACTGACAATGCCCAAAATAATACCTTTTTTATTCTGAAAACTTTCTCAATTTCAACCATAATTCTTCTTGTTCTTCTTGACCTGCTCTTCCTGAGGGTCTGCGTAGTCGGTGAAGTAAAAACTTCACAGCTTTGCTGACAATCCTTTGTTCCTATATCCGCAGTGTTTTCTTTCGTGGAACTGCGTGTACCGTCAGTCTTCCTTCTTTGACTACTGCAAGCAGTCTGATCTGCAAGTGCTTTATTCGCCCTACTCCTTGACGGTTTGTAAATACCTCTACACGACTGCTGTCAGTGAACGCTTTGAGGTTCACGGGCTCCCCGGTTAAGAACCGGATCCAAATGTAGCCCGAATCTCGCTTCTGTCAACTTGGGTTTTTTGCCTGACGGCAAAATGGGGGTGCGAAGCACTCTCTGCTTGGCATCAAATCAGGGGGCCACATGGATTACATGGCCCCATTACCTACCACGGAGCTAAGTGTCCAGGGTTTATTTTCAGGTTTGAGGGTCGGGTTTTTAGGCTAAAAGGTACTCTGTTTGAACCGACAAACAGACGTCGAAGCCAGTCCATTGCTCCTTTCGTGTTTTCGCGTGCCCTAAACCCTTCCTGGACCATGAAAGTTTCTGCGTTCTGGTCTAGGGTTGAGATAAAAGTTAAGGCCAAGGTCTGTCGGCCGTTGGGAATTGGGAAGCTACGCCCCTTGAAAGCTCGGGCGTCCTATGATGCGGCCCAACAATGGCAAGCCAAGCCGCACCCCTTTCAAACTCGGGTGGACGTGGAAGCAATGGCTGATAAAAGTTAAGGCTAAGGTCTGTAGGCCGTTGGGAGTTGGGAAGCTACGCCCCTTGAAAGCTCTGGCGTCCTATGATGCGGCCCAACAATGGTACCTCCCAAAAAACTTGTACAAAGTTCAGATGAAGAAAAATAACATACGAACCAAATAAAACAACCAAAAAACAAACAACAAAACCTCCCTCCTACGGTGCCAGCCCCACGTGGCGTCCTCTAAGTCAGTGAAATCGGCGGGTCCCCTGGCATCGATTCTGCCGTCGCCGCTCTGGCACAAAACTGGCCGGACAACAACACTGCGCAAGGTACCACCAAGGGAATGCAAATGACGAACCCGGCGCTTCGCAGAGGAGGGGCCAAGGAAAGGGGTAAGGGTGCCCAAGCCGACACTTGGGGCACGGCATGATGTTTTGAGGTCATAGGGCCAGAAAAAGAGCTCTGTCAGCAGAGTCCCGTGGTAGCCGTCCGGCGGCCATCCTAAACCCCCCGCACACCTCGCTGGACGGTCGCCTCGACAGTGTCTTGGAACCGGCTCCCGCACGCATAGCCCGATCGCTCCAAAACACTAGCGTGGAGCACCGTCGAGACGAAATTAGCCCCGACCCATGGCGAGGCGGCGAAAGCGACTGGCCGGCGGGCCTCGATTCGAGCCGAACTCGAACAGATCAGAAAATGGAAATTTCGGGCGCGGCATGGTGTTCTAGGGCCACAGGGCCAGATTAACAAACCTGTCGGCAGTCTCATCAAGAGTCTCATATTGCCCAGCAGCGTCAGCAGATCCTCAGCAGAAGATCATCAGCAGCATCATCATCATCATCATCATCATCATCATCATCATCATCATCATCATCATATCAGATCATAGCATATCATATATCATCACATCGTGTCATTGTATCATCATCATCATCATCATCATCATCATCATCATCAATCATCGTCGTCATCATCATCCTGCCAGGTCCTGAGTCCTGAGCCCTGGCATC